TCCTGAATGCCCTTGCTGAGCCAAGGGGGTTTCTGAGCACTCTTACTCTCCTTGCTTCTCTCAGGGACTGTTACCCTTTGGGCCTGGAGGATCGCCCCCTTAAGGTATGACCATCCGTCATGGACTCCCATCTCCTCTACCTTCTGGGCCCTCAGTGCCTGCCCCACTAATCTCTGAAGCTCATTGAAGTTGGCCCTTCTGAAGTCAAGGGCTTTAGTCTTGCTATAAGCCCTTGACATCTTGCGCTGGATAGTGAATTCCAGCAGGTGATGATCGCTATTGTCCAAGTGGTCAAAGACCTGCAGTCCCCTCACCAGGTGATCCCCAGTGGCCAGGGCCAGGTCCAGCAAGGCATTACCCCTAGTGGTGAAGGTCCTGTAATACAGCCAGGAACCTACATGAGCAGTCAGACCTGGTTGTCTGCTCCTCCCCGCAAATGTCTGGGTAGTTTAGGTCACCCATGACAATAACATCCCTTGACCTAACTGCCTCTATAAGCTGTGAGCTGACCGGAGAAGTCCCGGTCCAGCTCTTCCCCTGGTTGGGTGGTCTGTAGTAGACACCCACCGTAAGGTCCCTTTCGCCACGCCCCCCTTGTAGTTTGACCCACAGTGTCTCTACCCAACCCTCCTCTAAACTGAAGCTAATCCTTGATGATGTGAGTTGCTCTTTGACATAGAGCGCAACCCCCCTGCCTTTCCGCTCTGTCCTGACCCTTCTATATAGGGTGTATCCCCGAATGCCCACCGCCCAGTCATGGGTAGGGTCCCACCAGGTTTCTGTGAGCCCTACTAAGTCTAGATTCTTACTGACAATCAGGAGGTACAGTTCCTCCTGCTTGCTCCCCATACTACAAGCATTGGTGTAGAGGCACTTGAGGCCTCCTGAGGGTGCAGACCCCCCCCCCCTACTCCCAGGACGTTGTTGCTTACCTTTCTCTTGTCACCCTGCATGCTGGCGAAGCATCTTCTCTGCTCGGTGCGGCCCCTTCCCTGGCCTAGCTCATCCAAAGGTTGTTGGAGGCGGTGCCCCCTTACCTGGCCTAGCTCGTCTAAAGGTGATGATGTCAAGCTCAAGTCTGGTTAGTGGCCTGCACCAGAGGTGCAGGGCCCCAGAAGTCAGACTCCCCCTGCGCCTATCTCTTTGACAGTTGGCAGGCTTCATGGCCTGGCAGGGCCTAGCAGGCCTGCAGTACTGTTTTTCACCCTCCCATGCCCTAAGACAGACAGGCACAGCTGGAAGACTTCATGACCTCAGTAGGGCCTGACAGGTGTGCAGTAGTTCTTTTCACCCCCCTGCATCCTAAGAGAGAGACAGTTGCACAAGCACCCACGTCATTAGTTTTGCCAGTTAGCAGCCAGAGGTGCAGGGTCCCAGAAGCCAGACTCCCCCTGCACCTACCTCCTTGACAGCTGGCAGGCTTTGTGGCTGCAGCAGGGCCTAGCAGGCCTGCAGTTTTCACCTCCCTGTGCCTTAACACACACACAGTGTCACCTATGTCACGAGTTTTGCTTGTCATCAGCTTGAGGTGCAGTTTCCCAGAAACCCCTAAATCTATCTCCTTGAAACTTGGCAGATTTTGTGGCCTCAGCAGGGGCTACCATCCCTGCAGTTATCACCTCCCTGTGGCTTAACATACACATGTGTCAAGAGTTTTGCTTTCAGGACTTTGAGGTACAGTTTCTCAGAAACCTCTGCACCTATCACCTTGAAACTTGGCTGACTCCATGCTCTCAGCAAAGTCTGACATCCCTGTGATTTTCATCTGAATCAGCCACAAAACAACAAAGTTATAGATATTGCATTTTTTCCCCATTACACCCTATGGCCGAATCTCTGAATCGCCAAATCTTTTCCAAATCTTTTCTGAATCGATTCAGCTGAATTGAATCAGAAAAGCAATTCGGATCTCTGAATCAAATCAGATGAATCCGAATCATCTGAATCGAATAGTTGAAGCCCCACTTACCTTCTGCAGAGCACGAAAAGCAGGAAGGAACGCGTGCGGCAAAAGCACCACGACAACTTATCAGCCGCGCTTATATACAGCTGGGGCTGGGCAGCATGGGCTGGAGATGCCACCCGGCAGAAATAAAAAGCTGCCCCAAGGATGCAGTGGGGTGGCAGACGAATGGAGGCTCGAGGAGGAAGCCCACACCCTGAGGGGCTCAGCTGCTGCATTGGGCAGTGTGGGAAGCTGGGGGCGGAGCCTGGAGAGGTTCCGACAGCGGAGCCGATGGCAGAGTCGGCAGCAACGCCGACAGCAGAGCCTGCAGTAAAGCCGGCAGCAATGCCGGCAGAGGAGCCGACAGCGGAGCCAACAGCAGAGCCGACGGCAGAGTCGGCAGTGACGCCGGCAGCAGAGCCTGCAGCAAAACCGGCAGAAGAGCCGGTATCAACGCCGGCGGAGGAGCCGGCAGAGACGCCTACAGCAGGGCTTGCAGCGAAGCCGGTAGCGAAGCCGGCAGCAAAGCCGGCATAGGCTCCAGCAGCAACATCTGCAGCAGAGCCAACAGCAGAGCCGGCAGAGGGGCCAGTTACAGAATCAGCAAAAGCAGAGTTGGGCAAGCCAACAAAGGGGTCAACTTGCAAGCCGGCAGTGAAGCTTCGGAGAGGAGGTAACAGGGGCGTGGCCAATGGGAACCCCATCAGGTATCGCCGTGGAGGGCGGCAGAAGACCGCAAGTGGGGATGGAACAAGCGGCAGACAGGCCCCATTAGAGTCCTAGGATAAATGACTGGGACTCAATACCTGAGCGGGGCAAGCAACCAGGGCTAGGTACCTAGGCACAGGGGGATCCACGGGGCCCATAGGCTAAGGGCACCTTTCGTGTTCTCCTGGCCCACTGGCCGCATTGCTTCAGCTATCACGGTGGTGGGAACTGCACGCTCAAGTCACAGGGTGATTGGGATAGGGCGCTAGGGATTCGGATTAGTGGGACCCAGGTCTGAGGACTTCAAAGTCTGCACATCGAGTCATGACCTGAAGACACTGACGCGTGGCTGGCGGGCTGCGGGAAGAGGTCGGGTGGAGCCAAGAACACCAAAGGGCCCGAAGACTGGCAACCCAAGGTGGCAAGTGGCCGGGGTGTAGGGGAGGTCGGAGCCCTGTGAGTGCCCGCTGGGAGGTGTGACGACCCTGGAGGCTGCCTTGAAGGGGAACCCCTCCACTGAGGTACCATTCAAAGTCATGGCGGGAAAGTCAAGGGGATCCCCTGACGTCAGCCGGGGTAGTCTTTGGGGTCCACCCGCAAGCCCAGAACATGCTCGCAGGTGCCATTGGCAGCGCTTTTTACACGGGTTGCACTGGCAAGCTCAGGGGGTGCATGAACACCCTACGTGTCACCAATGCCTAGTGATCTGTGAGTGGCAGACTCCTGGGCTCCCAACTGTTGCTCTTCACAGCACTCTCTGGGTATTGCTATTCCTAGATCATCCCTAACCACTACTTATTCATACTCTTGAAAATCTCTAAGGAAGGAGTTTCCACAACTTTCCAAGGCAGCCTATTGCACTACCTCACTGTTCTAATAGTGAAGAAGCTTTCCTTTTATCCAAACTAAACCTTTGCTGCAGTTTCATGCTGTTGATATGCATCCTACTCTGTCAAGAGGGGGAAAATGTGTTCTAGTTTTGTGGCAGCCCTTCAAATAGTTGAAGACTGCTATTATGTTCCTTCTTAATCACCTTTTCTGCAAGTTGAACAGCCTCAATACACCAACTGAATATTGGTGGATTTCATGCTGTTGTATGCTTATTAGTTAACTGGATCTATACAAGTGTAAAACTGAAGTAACAATGAGTCAAACCTATAGATTTTAAACATTTCCTTTAGGTAATACCATGTGTATTCTCTGCATTTTTAATATACGTGTATTTATACAGTAGTGTGGTTAATCATACCTTTGTTTGTGCATCAGTAACAGCCCCTTGGTTAACAAGAACCTCTGCTACGTTTACTCGGTCCTCTTGAGCAGCCAGGTGAAGCGGTGTCAATCCACTCTGCAAATTAGGTGCAACAAGTGATCATCTTGCAATGGAGACATATTAATATTATAAGCCCAATTCTACCCTGAGTAAGACTTAAGAAGTCCTACTAATTTAATGTATCTTGTAAATGAGGATAAAATTTCTGTCTCTCTCGTGTTTACTGGTTGCTTGTTGATATAAAAAACACTAAAATTTATACCCAGCAAGCTAACATTTCAAATACAACATGCACCATTTATACAGGGAAACTTTCTTTTTGTTACATTACATTAAGGCAGCATATTATATTTTACCATTTTCAGCCAAAAACCTCAGGGTTATTTTGTTGTTTTTGTTATTTTGCCCCCTGGATATGAATGAGAGCAACAAATGTTTGTTTACATATCTGCTATTTTCTAGAGGCAATATGCACACAGATTTAAATCCTTCCATTTACAATTTCCCCATAATTGTTCTATTTGAACAACACTTGGGTTGGAAATGTTTCCCTTAGCAAGGGGAAGCAATCAAAGCTAGAGATTACTAAAAACCTCATTTTAATTTCTTGGGGAGGGTGGAGGTAATTCTTTGATTTCATCCTTGAGTCTTCTTGTCCTGTAAAAACTGAAGTCCTTGCTTTAACAACCTTATAATCCTATCGTCTATGGAGAGTCATTCAAAAAGCCTGAGCCTGAATTGATTAAATCTTTGCAGGTTAGGCTAACCTGGATAGGCTAAAACAGTTTGTAACTATACAGGCTAGGGACAGACATTACACATAAATCGGTTTAAGACTATTCTGAGGGAGTACATATAGGAAGAGCAAACAGGTTAACTCCCCAAAGAAAGGAGCTCTTTTCCCTCCCTGATGATGTTTTCTCAGTGCATGTTCTCCTCCATTCCTTTCAGCCACAAAGGCCTTTAAATGACTTCCCTCTCTGAGCTAAATCTCTGTTACTTTTCTGCTGTTCAGGATGCTTGTAGGTCATAATGACTAGAGACAGACATTACACATAAACCAGTTTAAGTGATCAGAAACTGGTTTAAACCTGTAACAGAACAGATGTTCAGTACACATTAACCAGTTTGAAAATGGCTGAAACCAGTTTGAGATAAACCTGGTTGAATGTAGTATCAGACTTAACTGATTTGGCTCAAACGGGTTTTATGCAATGTCTTTCCCAGACCCCTTGCTGGTTTAAGATAAATCAGACTCCCCCAGCATCCCGGCATAATCTCTGGCTGGGCGAGGCTCTCTGCTCCACATCAGGGCTGGCCCCTCCCCTCTGTTGCCTTGCTGGAGCTCAGCAGTCTCTGCAGGCATCTGCCTGGTTTCTGCTTAGGGAGTTGTTAGCATTTATCAGCCCATCAACAAAAAAAACAGCCTCTCTCATTAGTTCAAGCTCTTTTTAAACAACTTTTTCCAAGGAAGAAATGAAGGGACATTGCCAGCTACCTGATGATTAGCTTCAAAAGCCCCTAAGCTGTCTCCCACAGCACAGACCATAGCCAGCATGTGATATGCTAGCTAATGCTGAGAGTTGTTTGTGTAAGGCAGAGGGGGGGGGGAATCCCTGCCTGAGCAGGGAGTGGTGTGGGGGGGGAGCAGGTGGAAGCCAGGCAGACCCTGCTGTACCTGCAGTATCTGCCGGAGCTGCAGCCAAGGAGCAGAAGGGTGGGGGGCATCCCTGCTGGGCTGGAGCAGAGAGCAGAGCCCCATCCAGAGTTGCAAAGCAACTGGAATGCTGGAGGGCTCTGATTTAACGTAAACCAGGAAAGGGTCTGGGACAGACATTGCATAAACTGGTTTGAGCCAAATCAGTTAAGTCTGATACTACAGTTAAATTCCCTTTCTGTTTTCCAGGATAAATATTAGGCCTGTATTTGCTTTGGATTCAGATTCATCCAATTCAGGGGACATGGATTCAATTCAGTGATTCAAATCACTGTCCCAAATCAATTGGTCTGAATCTGGCAGAGCCCCCCATGCAGTGTGGGGCAGTGGGGATCACTCTTGATGGTGCTGGGAGAAAGGGTGGGGGTCAGGGTGTGTTTCAGGGGGGCTAGGGGAGCAGGCAGGGGCTGGGGCCTGGTGGGGGTCACTCCATGGTCCCCTCCCCCCTCCTCCAGCCCCCCTTCCCTCCAATTACTGGCACAGATCTCCAAATCTTTCTCCGAATCTTTTCTGAACCAATTCGGAGGCTTTGAATCGATTTGGATCTTTTTATTGGTCTCCCAATTTGATTTGGATTCAGAGATCTGGCTGCTGAATTGAGCCGAATCTCCTCCAAACCAAATCAGCACCTGAAGCTTCACATAGCCCTAATAAATAACAGTAAAACCAGGGGTTTAAAGTTGCACGCCAGGGCAATTCCAGTCACTTTCATTAATTTACAAAATCTCAGAGAATCATATTGCTATTATTCAATGATAAATCAGTTTTCCTTTACAAGGAAAGGAACCTTTTAAGGTTACATGCTTAATGGGCAGGCACGTGTATAGAGCTCATAAATATAACAAGTCAACCTCACTAACCACCTGGAGTTAAGAAGAAATTTCCCCAGGGGCATGTTATGCAAAACTGTCTTTTGTGGAAAAGGGAAGAGGAGGGTTTACATAGTAATCTGAAGCATCTGGTATTGGTCCTTGTCAAAGACTGGATACAAGAAAAAATGGACAATTGGTTTGATGTGATATGGTACTTGCTCTGTTCTGTTCTCTCTGCTAGAAGTAATGATGGTATTGATTCAAACAGCTGCTGTGCTTTTTGAAATTCAGAGAATCAGAAAAGGTAAACTTCCCTTTCCAGGCTCCCTTGTTGTTATGATTCTACACTTTTACCTTGAGCAGAAAAGAAAGAAAAATTACCTTGTTGCTAAGATTCATATTAGCATTTCTAGTAAGGAGTAATGACACCATGTCCACATGGCCCTCCTGGGCTGCAAGATGAACAGGAGCAATACCCTGTCTGGTTACAGCATTAGCGTCAGCACCATATTCAAGCAATGTTGTTGCTATATCCATCTGGTTTTTCTTGGCAGCTATATGCAGTGGAGTATAACCATTCTGTCAACACAAAACATTTGATTACAGGCTCATCTGTGAAATACAGTGATTATTACCTTTCTGTATTTATGTGATTTTACAATGTTAAATAATCAGTTCTAAAAGTTTAGCCTTGCATGACTGAGCTTAACTGTGGACCATACTAAAAAGGGTCACTTTAGAGCTTTAATAAATAGTCTTTTTTAGAGTTTTGCATTAAAATAAGGGAATTCTGGGAAGTCTGAATGACACTGAATGAGAGTGATGAACATTAAGGGTATGGACAACCGTATTTTTTAGCCGCTTTAAAAGGGGAGGGGGAACTCATAGCAGCTGTTATGACGCAACTTGGTACATATGCATAAGCCTATAATGATACAAGTTAGCTGAACTGCTTCCCCTTTGACCCCAAATGAAACAGGGTTAAAGTTATATTGGTTTTGCTATGGAATCATGCAGATGTAACTTATATCATATCAGTATATCTTTTGATACTGATACAGTTTTATGTCTGTCTATACCCTGATATAGTGCAATAAAGTCTACAATGACTTCAAATATTTCATAGATATTTGCTACTTTTCCTTAAAGGTCCAGATACATTTCATCTCTATAACAAAGTGGGTGGAGATATGGGATCATATCTTCTAACTTAAAACCACTGCTAGGGTTTAGGGAGGTTTTTTGCTTTTCCTGGTATGAATCAAAAAAGTATATATGCAAACTAGGATCAGTCTTGTAACATATACTTCACTAAAAATATTCCTCTCATCTTGTTGTTAAGGCAGTTTTAGATACCCTATCCAAAAAAAGCTCAAAGAATGGTTCAACATGAAATTATTGTTTTGTCTTTATCATTTCATTCTTTTCCTGCTCCTAATTCATCCATTCAGGTAATTCCAGGATGACCATCACAATCTAAATGCAGGGTAAAGGATACAGAATAATTTAAAGTGCCAAAAGAAAGGAGAGAATTTGGGAGAACATCTGTAATCTGGTTCATTTAGGCATTCATTAAATCAATGTGCATAAATCAGCAAGATACACTTAAGAATAATGGATCAAATACAGAGATTAAAACACTGGTCAGGGGCATGACCAGTCTTTGAATGCAAATTGATAGTTACAGGGGTGTACTTTGTAGCCATGTTGGTCTGAAACAAAAAGACATACAAAAAACTAGAAATCTTAATTCCAAAATGATACTTTTTATTAGACCAACTGGAAAATGGCAAGAAAACTGTCCTTTTCTGCAAGCTTTTGGGATCAAAGTCCCTTCATCAGGCTCTGGGAAAAGTGTAGATGGTACAAGATGGTAAAAAGTCCCCATCTGTAGGAAATAAACCTCATTTTTGCACAGAGGGAGCTGAAGATGGAAGTCTGTCCCTCTGGGTCCATGAGAGTGTCTTTGTGATCGATAGTTACTGCAGCCAATCCTGTCAGTCTTTTGGAAATATCATATTAATCTTTAGAATTATAAGGGAGTGTATTTGTGCGTGCATGTGTGTATGTCTGTGTCTGTGTGCATGCATGCAAACTCATTAGTACATACATGTGAGACTGAGGTTAAAGGAGTAGAACTCATTTAATATTCTCACAGGTGAAAGCTATCTATGATGTGTGGAAACAAGAGTCCTACCTTCCAGACCCTGCTGAAACCCAGTCTTCTACTTGTTCAGTGGTGCTGAGATGAAAACCCAGACCAAGATATCTTTAAACTCCTATGGTTTTAGTTTCAACCTATTACCCTTTCAGATTTTAAGCTGTTCCGGGAGGCATTATACTGCCTATCTTTGATGAGTAATTCAGTGTCCTTTTGTGGCTGTCAGTTGCATCTCCTTTGGAGAGGAATTTGCTATTTTACACAGTAGGGAGGGAAGGTAGGGCTAGGTAGGGAAATGGCCAGAGGGACAGCTGAACAGTATTAGGTAGGCATTTAGATCTGTTGTGCTGTGATGCAGACAGGAGTAAGGAATAATAAAGGCATATATAGTCATATCAATACTTAATTATTATCAATCCTGAAGTCAGAATAATTTGCATTAATTCAAAATACAGGAAGTTCTATAACATTAATGTTCGGATCCTACAGCTAAATGTAGGTGATGGACTACAATGCTCACATGAAGCTTCTGTAAAGTCAGACTCTGCATGGCACAAAAATCTGCCTGAATTATTCTGTGTAAGTAAGAATGGTTCCTTCCAGGTCCTACATGTGTGCTGAGGTCTGAAAACCTCTAAAATACAATGTTGCCATACATGATATATTCTACCCAAAAATGATGTTAAAAGAACATATTAAAAGTCAAGCACTCAAAAGCAGGAAAATGACAGAATCAGGGTTGCCTGTGCTCAAGCACTATCATCCAATCTTTAATTACATGATCATTTATTGTTGTTCCACAGACTCCTTCCTCAGAACAGGGAATTCTTTCTTAATGAACAACTACCCCATATTTTGTTTTCTTTCTCCTTGTTGTGTAATGTGTGGCCTTAGACTCTATTTACTGCACACTATATGAACCCTACAATGTTGAAGACAGGATTATTAATTTCTTCATTGTCTTTTCTGTTGTGCTTATCACTATAGTATCTAAATGCTATCCATACATTAATGAATGTACTTTCACTACATCCCTGCAAGTAAAGGAGGGGATTATGATCTCCATGTTAACTGAGAGAAACACAGATCAAAGTCAAAAGTATCCTCTAATTTTAAATAATCAATCTGTGATGCCTTGGATTTAATAATTTCAGCTACTTAACATTGCATATCACTTTATGTGTTAAAAAGCAGCTCTTGTTGACTTCAATTGCAGCTATGAGAGCTGAACCCTTCTACAAATCAGACCCCAGGGCCTCAATAGTAAATGAGGTACACAAAAGTCCACACAGAAGTGACCATTTTTGCCCAATCTGGCCCCTGAAAGCACTTTACAGCCATGACCAAACACATGTGCACAGCTGCAAAGCACTTTAAAAGGGCCCCGTCTCACAACAATGTGAACCCTTATGGCATGAGGGTTCAAACAAAGATGCACCAAAATGGAGCACCTTCAGTAAATTGTGTCTGCATGTGCCAGGAGCAGGGCTGGGCTGACACAGCTCAGCCTTGCTCTCAGTGCTGTCTTTAGAATGGAAGGTGGGGAAGGGAAGGGAGGGATTTTAGTGTGGAGTTTTTCATCCAGTGCTGGAGGGTGGGGTGGTGGATTGGAGCCACTGCTCTTCTGTCTGCACCTAAAATTAGTTTAACTTTGGTTTAAATGAGCATAACACAGAAACTCTATACCCAAAGTCGGGACAGAATTCTGTCCTCCAGGGCTGCCTGTGCTATGAAACCATCCTTTCCCTTCCTGTAGTCCCACAGTTCATTCACATCCCACTTTCTAACTTCTGTAGTAAGTGAAGCAAGAGACCTACAAATAATATTTTTCTTCATTATGCAACCAGATAATGGAATAAATATTGGAATGAATATTCCAAGACATGAACCTTAAAATGTTCTTTTATATAGTAATTTTGTCTGTAACCTCCTGTTTACAGAAGAACAAAATTAAAAACCAAACTAGGTGACTTCAGTTGAAACCTTGAGTTCTACCGCACTACATCTGCCACTCAACCTACAGAAAAGTGAAAGCAGTAGTAGGTTTTTATCTTTCTGTGGCCTGTCACTGGAAGTGGACATGACATTGTGCTTTGTCAGAGATAGTGGTGACAGGAGAAAAATAGTAAGATTCCACTATTTCTATTTGGGATTCTGGAGCACAGTGTGTTAGTGGTTATAGTTCCTTCTGTCTGTTTTTTTCACCTGAATTATTTTTACCCCATCCTCTCCAACATGTCTCTGTTGTATCCCTATTCTGTATCCTGGTCTCTTTATTCAGTCCTATTTTGTTACGTAGGCTCCACTTTTCATTCTAGGCCTAGCCTCATACCTCAAGACTCCACAGCACAATCCCACTTTTCCACTATTCCCAGCTCAACCCCCTCTCCAACCTTCTCCGCAACCCCCTCTCCAAGCTTCAATTCCTGCCTCTCTTCCAGCTCCTCCTCAAATCTGTTTGCTCAGTCACTCCACTTCCCTCTCACAGCTATTCATCCAGTCTCAGGCTTCTCCCCACATCTACTGGCTTTTTGGGCATTTATACATGTGCTCTAGGAGTGGGGAGGTGGGGGAAGGGGATGCCTTAATTAGAGCAGCTCTGAGAGCTACTCTAATTAAAGTGCCCGGAGCATCATGTGTATCAGCATCCCCCGTGTAAAAAATGGTGGCAGGGGCACTTTAACTAAAGCTCATTGGACAAGCTTTAGTTAAAGCACCCCCACTGCCATTTTTCAGTGCAGGGATGCTGATATACGTGACACATGGTAATTGCCGCACTCCAGCAGATTCAATCGAGCCTGTTCTGATGCACTGTAATTACAGCGTGTCGGAGTAGCCTTCCTGCACATGTGTAGGTGCCCACAGTTCCCTATTTCCATAACTCTGAATACTAATCTCCTTAACCAGCCAGTCCCAGCCTCCCTCAACCCCAATTCCAGTTTCCCTTCCCACCATTGCAGTCTTTAGTATGGTCCTATACTTAAGCTCTTGTCATAATCTACCCTCTCCCCTCACCACACACACTCATACACTGTCTGGTTCCTGATTTTTTTTCTGTAAAATTAGGCAGTTTTGGTCTTCATCCTAGATTTAACTGGGGCACAGGAGAGAAAATATTCTTGTTCCTAGTCTTGGTTCCCAATCCCAAAGCAACCAACCCCAAACTATAGTTGAAGGGAAGATCCCACTTAGACTCTACCTGTTGCATGTTCAGTGAGGGTGGACTCTGAAGAATTTAGCTGTGTGTGTGTGCATGTGTGTGTGTGTGTGTGTGTTTGCGTGCATGCCTGTGAGTGTGTATTTAGACTCGGTTTAAACATACTTTGGGATAAGCTAGTCTCGCATGTGATTTGGCACTTACTAAAGAAAGGATTAAATAGTAGAACATAGGTTATAAATACTGTTTTAACAAGGTTTTTCCAATGTGTTAGACACCAGTTTAGCTGAGACAGTGGATGAATTGAATGCAAATCTTGGGATCAGTACTCAACTCAGTGTTCTAAACCCTGCAGTAAAAAATTACTGTACATTTAAAAAAAAATCTTGCCCTGACCTCAGTACTTTAGTATCAGTTAGCACTAAAGGAATGAATTGACTATCTTTGTGCCTGGAGAGCAGAATAATTAATTGGTGCAGATTGCAGTCCTTCTGATAGAAGTGCACTATAATATAAAACTGAACTTCCTGAGCATAGTTGAGAATATGCTCAAAAGTGCATATATATGCCTAATCATCTGCAATGAATCCCTGAATCATCTGGCACAAAATATAAAGCGGGGTGGGGGGGGGTGAGGAAGAAGAAGCACAGAAACTAGCAATTCTATTTGCATTTTGAAAAGATAGTACATTTTCATACAAGTCAAATTTTAAGCATTAAAACTGAACAACTGGAAAATTGTATGCATGTGTCTAGTAACAGCATAAACAACTGAGTCTTTACATTTAAAGGTAAAGGTTGTGAAACTGGGATTTTTTATATTTTACAAAATGCCAATGTGTTTTCAGATATTTTTCAGCAAAATAGATGGGTGTTACCCAGTGATGCAGGAAGTTCTAGATTGCCAAAAGAAAGCAGAGAGGGTACTGAAAAATTGAAGATGAGTTTATTCTCAATCTGCATGTCAATCCTTATCATAAGGACCACAGCGAATAGATTTAAGGAAAATGTTTGGAGAAAAAGTGTGTTGTTATTCTGCTTCTCAGGGAAAAGGTAAAAAAGGGATGAGTTTACGGATGGAAGAAAAACGAGAACAATTGTAAACTGCTGAAGAGAAATAGAGGCACTGTAAAATGGGTGATCAACTAAAATGATCTACTACCCAAAAAAACTTTGTACAAAGAATAATTAGTACAGTCAGGTACAGAAACATCAGCCATAACTGTCTATCCCCATTTTTATATATATTAGGGGTCTGGGAGTACTACTGAACATCTCCCATATTCTTTTTTTGATCATGTTTTTTATGGAAACACTGCAACACCAGTGTGACAGGCCAATTAAAAAATCAGTTGTAGCGGGAATAAGACAACTGTTGGAAAAGTTGACTGCAGTGTTATTGATGATATATATATATATCATCAATAACATTACACATTTATGTACAAAAGGGTGGAAATTCATCAGCCATGATCACATCATCTATCAGTTGACTGCACAGAATGGTGCCTAAAGCAGTAGACTTGCTATTACTAATTGCATTGAGTATTGTTGTGCAACTCAGTGCATTGCTGTGGCTCGCTTGCTGTAAAATACTAACAAATGTTTTGTTTTAAGAAGGATCACAGCTGGCACCAAAACCCCAAAGTGGCAGCTGCTAATCTGTTTGGTTACAGATGGGTGGATATGGTGACCTAATACATGATTCTGCTTATTTTAAGCTGTAATTTTATCATTTTGGTTTAGGCTTAAAAAGCCTTTAGCTTTGGGTGCAGTCACAGTCCTTTCCCCTGCGGGAGGGCCACACTTCCTTGACGATCATTTCTTTCAGTACATCCTAGGTGAAAAGAGAAGAGTAAAAGAGATCACCCAAGTTCATTTCCTGGGGCACGATGTCGGAATATTACGAAAGACATTATTGATTTTAGGCTTTGCTATTGCTTCTGGCTTTCTGTGTAATTTCATTTCTGCATTGCAATACATAGGATGTGGCCTATGATTTATAATGGACTACATTTCCCTCTGAGATGGGGTGGGGGGTGGGGGTGGGGCAAAATAGCAGTTCTGGCTGGCAGCGAGACACCATTTCCCAGCAGCCCCTGCCTGTGTGGCTATACTATGATAGCACAAGGCCAGGGTTTCTATGGAGACTGGCTCCAGGAGCACTGGCAGGGCACGTAGCAGGGTGCACAGCTGTTTTGGAGCCTGGCTGGGATCTTGCAGAAGTGACTGCGTGAGTGGAGGCATGATCACTAGCCTGCATGCCCTTGCTTGGGGCATGCAGGCTGCAGAATGCAGCTCTGTCCCAGTTCTGGTCCATACAGTCACCACTGCAAAATCCCAGCCAGGCTCTGGAGCAGCTTTGCACCCTGCCACATGCCCTGCCAGCAGGGGCAGCACAGGGGGGGGCAGAGGGCTTGTGGGGGGCTATAACCACCCCAACATTCTCCATAAGCACCCCTCTCAGCAGCGCTGCCTGCCCTGCACAGGCAGCTGAATCTGTCCCACTCCCACTGCAGCACAGCTCCCCATTTACCACTCCACCAGGAAGAGGCTGGCATCATCGCTGCCTGCAGCGCTGCTGGGGCCGGTCTCCATGGACACCTCAACCCCATGCTATCACAGCATGGCTGCTGCTGGGGTCACCATGGAAACCAACCTCAGCCATGCAGGCAGGGGCTACTGGGAAATGGCATTCACTGCTAGCCAGATCTGGCCAATGGGTCAGACTTTGCCCGTCCCTGCTCTGAGAGATGCCTCCTCTTTAGCCATGAAGCAAGATTTTTTCATCATGTCTACATTTGTTCATGTTGTAAAGGAAGATAATAAAGAGAGGGGTTTTTGTCTGTGTATAACCCACCTTTTCCATAAACTCTTGAGCTATATTTTCAATGTTTGCTCTTTAGAAGAATGTTTAGGACTGTACCCATAACATTTGGGATGAGGTATTTATACTGTATCTGTTACATAAAACATGAGTCTGCTTCACCCCTATTTTATTTATTGACACTGCTACATTGGTAATTAATGTCAAATGAAGAACACTGCATTATCCTAGTGTCACTGAAGCCACATGATGCCACAGGAGACTCACAAGGATTTAGGGCTTTGGAACGTCTCACAGGTCTTCCTCCTTAAGTTTTGTATTCATCAGTCATTATTTTAAGGTTAATTCATTCCCATGTTAATCTCTATGTCTTTTCTTACCTGGATTCTTACATTATGCATCTCCAGTAGATTGCAGTCCATTCAGGACTATGGCTATTTTTTTCTATTTCTCAATAATCCAGTTCTACGGAAGTACTTATGAAGAATTTTAACAACTATGGAAGTTACCCTGACAGATCACACTCTAACGTTTTTCTTAAAAGCAAACTGACAAAGTGCAATCCTTGGTCTCTGCTGATCAAGAGGTTCCCTTCTGTTTCTCCTTGGCATAGATGTTAAAAGGAAGAAATAAAAAAAAGTATAAGAAAAGCAGGACCCCATATTTCATGGATTGAAACCCAAGCCCATGAGTTTTTCTAGACTATGCTGACTCATTTTACTTTTTTGTTATGAATCCTGTCTCTTTGCGGAAAAGATCAATTAAGTTCTTTTCTGCCCTACTGAGTCATTCTGCCAGCTTACAGACCCTTATGCCAGACAAATAAATGGGATTGCTAGGGTACATTGTAACTGAAAGATACACTGAATAAAGGGTAGAAAGAGCAGAGGTATAAGGAACATATATATAAAAAGCAAGCCTGCTGTTCCCTTGTATTGATCAGTACTTGTACCTTTGCAGAAGCATGAGGTGAAGCTCCCTGGTCCAAAAGCAGAAGTGCCACTTTCTGATTATCATAGTGTGCAGCTACATGCAGTGGAGTTAAACCACTCTAAAACACACACAGAACAAACAAGCCTTGTTATAAACAAGCTCCAGTGAAATTCAAGAGCATGGAAAGTCAGGTTAAAGTAGATAAGTTGAGAACATAGTGATACTATCCATTCATATATTCAAATTCTCCATTAACTTCTGAAACAACAAGCAACAGAACTAATGAAAACTTATCTATGAACACCCACCTCACGCACTTATTGAGGATAAGATTGTAACTTTGTCTGGAGTAAGCAGAAGAAAATCTACATATTTGCACTGTCCAAGGGCAAGCCACATAGGAAACTGTAAATCTCTTGTACTACTCCTCTTTTACTGTATGGCATAAGTAATCCACTACTCATCCACTTCCACTTCCTTTTTGGGCTAGATTAAGTTCTGTTGGCCTGTGAAGCCTTGGCTCCTTTCTTTCTCTGCCCACCAGACCAGGAGCTGAGAAGGAGAGGGGTGATGGTGATGGAAGGTGGGAGAGGAGGGAAGAGTCCTGGTACTTTATGTTCATTGTGCTCTGAAAGGAATGTGAGTGGTCTGAGCTAGGATTCAGGGTTTGGTTTTTTATAACTTATTTCCCTGTGTGGTCTCAAAAAGGAAGTGAAATTTTGCCCTTAATGATGACAAAATCCTTTGCCATGGGATTGATGACACTATCAAGCCAAATCCAAAACTATGGTTGAAAATATTAGCAGGTGCTTGTGTGACAGACAGTTTTGTATCATGTGTAAGTGGACATTTACTATGCCAGTAGGCACTGGTTTTGTCTATCCTACCTTTCCAGCAGCATCCGGAGATGCGTTCTTCTGAAGCAGAAGGTTGGCTACTTCAATTTTGCCATATTTTGAAGCCACATGAAGAGGAGTAAATCCTTTCTGTAAGAAAAAATTATTTACACTGAGGTGATGAACATTTCTTTCCCAGGACATCTGAAAGTTTCAGTCACACAAGGGGCTCTAGCTTATGACCAGGGATCCAGGTTTTCTGTTTCCCATGGAAAAATGGAGAAAAACACGGATTCCCTGTTTTTAATCGGAGAAAACGTGGATTTCCCCTTTTAGCAGAGAAATAAACTCACCAGGGGGGACCAGCGGAAAATAGGTGAGACTCTGTTCCCCTAGGCACCACCTGGGATAAGAAGGAATAATGGCCACGAATTGATTGAGAGTAGGTTCAGGCTTGATATCAGGAGGCATTACTTAATGGTTAGGGCTTCCAGGCTCTGGAATGGGCTTCCAAGTGAGGTGGTGCTCTCCCCTACCTTGGGGGTCTTCAAGAGGAAGTTGGACAGATATCTGGCTGGAGTATTATGATCTCAGCACTTGTTCCTGCCCAGGGCAGGGGGTTGGACTTGATGATCTGTTCAGGTCCCTTCCAAACCTAGAAATTAAGAAATCCACGAATTCTCCGCTTTTGCAAAGAGCTCTTGCAGGCTGGCACAGTTCCAGCCTGCAAGAGCTAATTGCAGAAAGGGTGGGAAACCCCCAGTCCTGCCAGGAGGGGGAGGGAGAGGGGGAAGGGCCAGGTCTGAGGCTCTGAGTCAGCCAAAGCTGGGCTCAGGCTCAGTCTCAGACTTGCTCTTCACCCCTGGAGCCTGGAGGTAAGTGGGGCTTGGGGGTCGTGGGGCAGGGCTGGGGAAGAAGATGGCTGGGAGCTGAGGAAGTCGGGGTGCACTACCGGCCCCAGGCAGCACACCACAGCACCTCCCTGCCTCCAACCTCAGCCTGCTCCCAGAAGCAGGGCGGGGGTGAGAACAGGGGTGCCCCTCTGCGGGTCATACATGTGCTGGCTGGTCGGGCGGGTTCGCACACGGTGGCCGCCATCACAGCACACCATGCTGTCTTGCCATGGCCAGCCACATGGTTTTCCAGGCACGCGGTGCACGGCGCAGCAGTGGCAGTGGCCACTGCATGCGAGCTGCACATGTGCCACTTGGCCGAATGTCCAGTGTGGGGGGAGGGGTGGCTCACATGCAACAGCCGCCACCGCCGCTGCTACCCCGCAACCAGCCACACAGCTCTGAGGCCACGGCTCTGCAGTGGCAAGGGGAGGTGGCTGTGGTGGCTGCGTGCTGGCCGGTGGGGGGCTCGCACGCAGTGGCCACCACTGCTGCTGCTTGCCTGTGGAGCTGTGCCCTCACACCAATGCAGCCGGCCATGGGGAGGCAGCGGCAGTGTGGTGGTGGCTGCTGCCGCTGCTTGCAAGCCCCACATCTGCAGGCATGGCTCCCTAGACAAGTGGCAACAGCGGCGCAGGATGGTGGTGATGGTGACTGCATGCCAGCCAGTGGGGGTGGGGGGATTTCGCATATGGCAGCTGCCACCACCTCACACCACCACTGCCACTTGTCTTCACAGCTGTGCCTGTGGACAGGGGGCTTTCATATGATAGCCACCTCCGCGCAAGCACAGGTCCACAGGCAAGCAGCAGCAGTGCCAGCAACCACATGTGAGCCTCTCCCTGCTCCCCAGCCAGCATGCAGCTACCCCAGCCACCACTCCACACCACTGTGGAGCCTTGTGGCCAGCCATGGGACACAAGTGGCTGTGCAGTGGCAGTTGCTGCATGCAGCCGCCCCCTCTCTCCCTCCATCTCCCCAGTCAGCCAGCCAGGTGGTATGTGTGTGGCCTGCACATGGCAGCCACCACCTCACTGCCACTGTTGTGCCCTGCACCACTTGCCCGCAAAGCTGTGCAGCCGGCTGCAGGAAGGCAGCATGGGGCACTGTGGCAGAGGTGGTAACGATTGTGTGCAAGCCCCCCTGGCGTGTGTACAGCCCTCAGAGGGGCACCCCTGCCCTCATCCCCTGCGCTTGCTCCTGGAATCAAGCACAGAGGCACACTGTCCCCCCACTTCTTGATCTGCCCCCCCCAGCACCTTCCCTTTCCCCCGCCCTGCCCTGCCCTTTCCCCCCACACACACTTACCTGCTGGGATGGATGTCAATGACTGTGCATGCATCTGTGTCTGCATGTCTGTGCCTGCATGTCTGTGCCTGTGTATGTGGGACTGGGGGGCTATTGTGGGGAGTAAGGGGCATTATGAGGGCTGAGCAGGCTGTGGGAGGGATTGAGGGGCACCAGCAATACTGGGTTGGGGGAGGGCTGTGGGGAGCCTTTAATTTTAATAATTGATTTTGGGTTTTTAATCAAAGAATTTACAATTTTTAATCAGAGAATTTGTGATTTTTAATCAGAGAAAACCAGGATATTTGCTTATGACGGTATCTCTTGTTTTCTTTCCTTCTCTATTTGTGAACTACAACAGAGGCAGGTAGCCCCTAATTCCAGCTGGCATGGGCTTGGAGGTTCTTTGCAAGGAGCAGTTTAGACCAGAGGTGGCCAACCTGAGGCTCCAGAGCCAGATGCAGCTCTTCAGAAGTTAATATGCATCTCTTTGAATCTTTGCACAAGCACATGGTGACCAGCTTCCATAGCCATTACATTATGTCAAGTCATGTGACGCAACTGCTCGCAATACTAAACAATCAATAAGTTTTTATCAGTAGACCATATTACAAATCCAGCTCAGAAGTGAAAACATGAAGCTATATATCCACCTAGGTAGCAGACTGTAGTTAATTCCTACTTTTTTAGAAGCATGCATGACCCCCGGATTATTTAATCTATCTGGAATACTTTGTAAGCATTTCAGATTTCATTTCCACAACTCCTGTACCTTGCCAGAAGGTAGGGAAGGGTGGCACATTAGAGACTAACTGGTTCAGAGAGGTATGTAGGCAACAATCAACTTCATTACCAGCTAAAAGACTTCAGACTAACATGGCTTAACATCTCTCCCTTACCTTGGTAATTATAGCTAAAGATGCACCATGATCCAAAAGAACTAAGGCTACATCTTCATGCCCTTCTCGAGCAGACAAATGGAGGGGAGTATAACCAGAAGTTGTAGTTGCATTTGGAGATGCTCCTTGTTGTAATAATTGCTGCACTATATCAGCTTTTCCCAGTCTGGCAGAAATGTGCAGTGGTGTTTGGTCATCCTAAATATGAAGAAGACAGTCTTAATAAGAAAAATAAGGTTCAGATTTTGAGGGAAAATATCTGCTGAGGTCCTATTATTGTAATTGTAAAGCAACATGAATTCTACCAAGGCTGAAATTATAAAATACTCCATACTAATTTTTAATTTGTCACATGACTAAAGAAGTGGTGACCAAGATCCACAGTCTGGACCTGGCCCATGGGGCTCTATCATCCAGCCTAAAGGGGCTCCCCCTGGATCAGGAAATTCGGCAACATGGTGAACAGTGGCAGCATTAATTGCTGTGGCTCCCAGAGCTGTGTCATCCAGCCTAAGGGAACAGAAATCAGATGAGAGGAACAGCAGCTGCCACAGCTCCAAGAACCACAGCAAAGAACACCTCTGTTAATTCCAGACCTGCTACATAGCTCTGCACTCCAGATCTGGCCCATAACCCAGCCTCATGTCAGCCAGTTGAGTTGGGCACCCTGGATTAAAGCATGGAGTTCCCAAAGGTCTGATGCTGCATATACTGTTTCAAATCTGGAGTGTGATCAAAAAGAATAAGGTCCACATCTCTTTGGATATGTTGGCATGGTGCAGTGCAGCACATATTGCATTAAGGGTCTCATCAAACCTACAGTGCATTTTTCACCTGGCCCTAAGATCTTAATATGGTCTATGGCCCCCACAATCCCTAATCATACCAACAGGAGTTGGACTGAAGCAAGCACCCTTGATGTTTGATTTCCTAGTCTTGTGCATTAAATTACCATTTTATGTTTATTTAGCAATAAGCAATGCTTTGAATATTTCCCAGAAACTGGAAAGAAGTTTTATATCTATAACATTTTTAAGGGCTCTCACAATAGAGTTATGAGACCTGGAAATCCACATTTTTATTAAGATTGTAATGGCTCATTCAGCACAGAAATCCCACTGGATAAAGTTCTAGGAGGCTGCTGTGTTAAGAGTCTTAAAGTTTGTTTTCAGAGAAGAAAATATTTAGGAAATTTTTAACCTCATGCCAAGAGCCTCATAGCTATTTTCTCCCTTTTTTCTGTATTGGTTTCTGTAAATTCTGTATTGATATTTGTTTTAAACATTCAAGTTACACAAACTTTATTCAAAGCATTCTGGCAGCAAGGCCAGTATCAGTGAGACTAAATGTAGCTGTGCCTTCACTATCATCCCATAAAAATCTATTTAAGTCCCTTTGTCTCCCTCTCTCTTTTACAAGGGTTCAGTTTTATCAGCCACCCCTATCTTATACTCTTAAATACAGTGCTATTATATATTGTTATTCTGGATTCTTGCATTTCCCAGGGGTTTTTTTTACTAAAATCTTGCATCATATATCTTTACATTGCCTGGGCTTGTCCTACTTTGGTGGCTGTCACTGGCTGTACTAAGGATGCATCAACAACATCTCAACATTCAAGAATGACTGAGGGGACACAGGAACTAACACAGTTAGAGAGATAAATTGGAGCAGATATAGGGGTACTTTAATTTATGGTAGTTTTATCAAGGCTGCTGATGGGCTGTATCACAGCCTGCACCAGTACAGATCTCTGGAGTGTTCAATTCTGTGAAGGCATCTTAATTCTCCCTTCCTTTGTGATAGCTATCTTACTCCAGTTGGGACATCCACATTCATCTACCCACCTCTACACTAGCTCTCCTGAATTCTGAAAAATCCCTACAGGTAAACTGCTATTCCTCTGATGGGACCAATGACATTTTTATGTGTTGGAACAGTGACACTCCAGCTCCTATTTCTATCCTCTCCACAAGACTGCTGTATCTAATTTCAAGGTATCCTTGAGATGCCAGCGCTGTGAGGAGTTTTTTGTGAAATATTCTTTGAAAGTATGTTTTAATGTATTTATTGGTAATATGCAGAGTACAAAAAAATTGCCATTACCCCAGTATAAAGATACCTGGTTTCATTTCCTCATTCCCTCCCCTTGGGTAGGTGGGAGATCGTTTCACTCCCTGGCTGTGCTATGTGTGCACATCTTACCTTAGCTTTAGCTTCTACCTGAGCTCCATTTTGTATTAGGTATCGAACAACTTCTGTTTGGCCAGCTCTGGCAGCCATATGTAGTGCTGTTTCTCCTCTCTAATAAGTGAAACCAAAATATTGTCAAAGATTCAAACAAACAAACAAAAAAGGATGTTTTATGACTACAAAAGAAATTGTGACCCAGTTTAAAACCATCACACCGAGGAATATTTTAGGATCTGTTTGTGAACAGAATGTGGAAGCAAATCAATATTTGACCTATAGATCTGTCTTGTACAGTGATTAATTCCAGCAACATTTTCCCAATATAATGGTACATTTGTGCTATTTCATTTTGTTGAGAAGAGAAAAAAATCTTGCTCACTTATAGGGTAGCATTAAAATGATGTCAAATTAAATATCCAGTCAGTTGGCTGAACATTTAAAACCATTTCAAGTTTTTTACAATCAGATGTCAGACTTTTCTTGGCTTCCCTGCTGTTATGCTCTATGCCCCTAATGTCATTTGGATGAGTAAAGAGGAACTCTCCCCCTACCCCCATCCCATGAGGTATATAAATCCAGTTCTTCATTGGTTTAACAAAAGATATATCTCCAAATAAACAAGAACAATTTCAAGAGGGAAATTGCTTTTTAGATTTTTGTACTTCATAGGGCCTTTTAAAACCTTTCTCTCCAAACTCTCTAAATGGCCTTGCCTGCGCATATAATTTAACAAGATGTATACAACAAACCTTTAATACAATACTTTCTTTTAACTGTGTCTATATCAGAATGTTAAAGGGAGCCTTTAATGCAAAATTGTTAAAAAGCTTTGACATCTTTATACTTTTTGCTCTTTGCCTTCAATTTCAGTTTATTAAAGATGCATCTAACAGCAGCTTTATTCTCACAAACTCACTGTGAGCCTCGGAGCATGCAGGGCACATCCAGTAGGAGTGCACTTTTATGGCAGCATGGACACATGCAATATGTCCTGACAATCTGCTGCAATCTGTTGGCAACAACAGAACTGGCCTGAAATGGCAAGACCTCAGTGTACTATGGATGAGACACTCAGAGATGGGCACATCTCCAATGATAAGCAAAAAGCTCTGAGCGAGTACTAACTCTGTATCTTGGCATACAGGAAAATAAATAGAAACATTTTACAATAGAACTACAGCAGAATTTTTTTATCTCAAGTGGTGCACAGAAATTTCCACTGTTTTTAATAGGAGCTTTATAGAGGTGGTTGACACATTCCAGTATCGGGTCCCTTAATAAATGTCATTACCAGATATTCTCACTCACTTACATGTTACTGAAAATAAAACTGTTGCTTACCACATTGGTGGTGTTGGGTGATGCACCATGATGCATTAATTGTGATACAATATTTACATGTCCCATGAAGGCAGCAACGTGGATTGGAGTTAGGCCCGACTAAAAACAGAAGGACAAAATTAACCATCTAATTTTACATGATCTTTTTTTAATACTGCTATCTTAGAGGAAAAACTGACTTGTTTAAAATAAATATGCCTCAATCTCCTCGCCTCATCTTTTAAAGGCTTACACCAGGGCTGTCCAACTTCTGATTGTCCACAGGCTGTGGGCCCCGCCATCCTGCCCCCAGGGACAGGGGCAGGAAGTGGAAGATGGAGGAGGAAAGAAAACTCAGAGACCCTGGTAGCAGTGGTAGCAGCAGCAATGTGAGAAGTGGTGCCCAGGTGAGGGTCAAAAGTTAACTCCTAGTGGGCTGTATGTGGCCCATGGACCACCAGTTGGACAGCCATGACTTACACAGATTCTGAGCTTTAAGTGAAAACATTTGCATACTTAAAAGTAAGCACATGCAGAACTGGAAACTTATATGTAGTTATGCTTGATGGGTATTAATAACAAACATTTTGAATGTCAGCAATATTTCAAATATAAAGATTACTTAGAAAGCCAAAATGTTTCTTCCACTTAAACATCTGCTGCTATGATAAATGGTCTCATCTTTAAAGAAGGTAAAAAAAAAATAATCACAGACCAATTTTGGACCAGAAAATAAAAATTAATAGAATAATTTCTGATACGAACATACAATTTTTGCTAAAAAGGCATCTAAAAGGTGAGTGGAGCCTTTCTTCCTAAATGTTGCCATTAATTTCCTGGATTAAGGATAATGCTTATTTATCATGTAGATCAACTTCATCCCATTGCCTCTATGACAGGAGGGGAGTTCAAATCACTGCATCTTAGCTGAGTGGAGGGTGAAGAGTATTACATGTGCAGAGTAGTCCCTCCTTTCCTAGGATGGTGCTCTATCACTGGAACTCCATAGTTTTGACTGTCCACAGGATATATAGTTATAGAAAGGGGAGCAGCAATTTACCAGGGTGCTCACCCTGCACTGACCCTAGGGAATTTGCATCAGAAATCCAATTAATAGCTAATATTTCTCCAAGTAGCATTAGCACCCTCCAAGTCCCCTTCACAGCTGTGGCTACACAGCTGAAGTGGAAGTCAGCCAGAGGCCCAATATGTCTTGAGGGGGTGTTGCTGCAAGGGACAGAGGAGATCAGTTAATGAGAGGTAGAGATCTCTTGATTTAGGGAATGGTCTCTATGATGCCATTCCACCAGAACAGTGAGTTGGAATTATGAAACCTACTGTGAAAGATATAGGATCTATATAAAAAAAATTACAATAAATAGATAGTTAGCTGTACAGAAAGGATGACAATACCACACCACAATTGGGACTAACTTTTTCAATTATCCTACCCCTGAGAACCCTAAAACAGTGTAGCCTGGTTCTCTTCAGATTTCTTTGGGGAAGAACAGTGTGAGTGTCTGGATAATTTACTAGCAGCCAGGTGAGAGACTGTCACCTTTATTTTGACTACAGATGTAGAGACTCTTAAATGTGCTATTTCTAACTTCATCTTGGCAGCTCATTGCAATACACTGGTGACCCATCACACAAGTGGAAGGCAAAACACTGGTGCTGCCAACTTTGTTGAGCAATTCTTGCTCATTCTTTTAAATTATTTTTACTCCTTTGCACTATGTGGAAAAGAGCTGGATGAACTACCTATTTCCATAGTGATGAAACCATAAATAGGGAGCACAAACACAGCATCTCAATACATAATTTTCACTGTGTGTCTCTCACTTACATGCTTAAAGAGCTTAAAGCTAGAACCTGAAGACTGGATCATAACTCCCATGGTGTGGAGGTCATAACTAGAATAGATTCCTTTAATGGGATCAGATGTCTGTTCCTTTGCAGAAGCATTAGTTAGACCCTCATTCAAACCACCATGTCCTTATGTAGAAAAAGCTCTCCAATTATCACCTTGTCAGTTAGGTAAGGCACTGTAATTTGCCACTGAATTATCTGAAAACCTGAAATAAATAAATCCACACTTCAAAGCTTTGGGAGGTAAACTGTTGCCAATGATATCTTGTTTAATTTAACCAATGGAACAGCTAATCCTTTTCTAACTTGACTTGACCTTTGTACAAGTGACCTTTATTGCTAATTGGTGGGGCTTTTGTAAATATGTAAGAAACAAATTTTCAGCTGGTCTCAGTCAGCTTCCAAATTTGTGCCCATAATTTTATGTGCACAATCATATACAGGACCAAGTAACAGCACAATAATAGGCTCTCCATCTGATTTGTCGTGACAAATTACTGTGACTCGATTACAATAAATTAATACATTAAATAACCTTTCAAAACCGGACTTTAGTGAAACACGCACCTTGTGCTGGCCTGCTGCATATTTGCCAGTTTCATCTCATATGTTTAAAACTGCAGATACAAATGCGGAGATCTTATTTTTTTTTATTTGCCCCATATGTTTGATTAAATATAATTCCTGGGAGCTGAAATCCATTATTTTTGCAAGTGTTCTGATATGCATCAGTAAGTTACTTTCTAATTTCAGTATTTGTTAAATCACTTGCATTTTGTTAAAAATCATTTTAAACAGTAATAATGTATGTTCCTCAACCAATGTCCATGCATAATATAGTTGGATGGTGTATTTGGGCTAGGAACAAAGCAGCATGTGCAAACAATGCCTTACCTCAGTTACAGCTTGGATAGATGCACCATGTTTCAGGAGAAGCTCCATAACTTTAATTCTGTTCTTCTTGCAGGCAATGTGAAGAGGTGTGAAGCCATTCTGTTAATGAGAAAAGATGTACTTTCAGGCACCAACTTTGCCATTGCTAAAGTATGGTACATGGGTTTTTCTGAAGCTGAAACATTTTTCAGCAATACCAGAACATACAAAAACTTGTTTCAGTTTGGCTGAATTGCTCATGTAAAACAAAAAAACAAAGGCAGAAATACCTAGAAAATTTGCAATGTTTCATTTTGACATTTTCAAAATTAAACATTTTATTTTTTCCATTAAGAGCATTTTTTTTGTTTTGAAACTTTCTTTCTTTTCATCAAATGTTTTAAAAAGCTCATTCTACCCATTTTCTTTTCACTTCTCATTTTCCTACACTTTTTTAAAAAGTCATTTTGGGCTAACCCAAAATATTCGTTGTGTTTTGTTTTGTTTTTAATTTTCATAACCATCAGTGAACCAGAAACTTAGATAGTTGCACAGATCTATTTCTTTTAGGGTTATTTATTGAAATGTTTGCCCCTCATGAATTTTGTGCCACTTAATTTCAATAAGATTTGTTTGTCATGTGATAATAATATGCAAATATACTTTTAAGGAAAAATAGTTGCACATGTAGCATTGTGCAGATTTAAAGCTAGCACCTTGTCTGTGGTGAAAAAATAAGAACTCAACTGAAGCAAGAAAGCAAGATGTCCAGACCATCCAAGAATGATGCACCATTGTTTACAACATTCTCTTGAACACTGATGCCATTCTGAATACATATCACAGAACAGTTTTAAAAACAGCTGACAGAACTGAACCTCATATCAGATCAAAATTAGCTACATTACTGACTAATAAAGAACACTAGATACTTCATAGCATGAGGTCAGTGTGACTGTCTGCTCCAGTTTAGGGTAAACATTGTAATTCATCCCTCCAGCACAGCATAACAACTAGGCTAAGACTAGACTAAATTACTGAAAAATGGGCAGAAATGAAGACAGTCACAACATGTGGGACAGAATTGCCTGTTGAAGAATATCTTAATGGAAGGAGGCTCCTTAGCTAGTGAATTACTCAAGTAACTTTAACGTTTTCCCTTGTTTTCTAGGATATTGGGCATGTTAGGAATATCTAAGCAGGGAAAGGCTTGGACAGAGTACACTGTATTCTACCTACTTTTAGTCAGGTTGTGTCTTTAGGAAATTATTAGAATGTAGTGATTGCTCAAATTATACTAGGGGCTTACACAGGAGGTGCTATTAAAGGCTTCTTTAGTCCCATCTCATTCTTTATGCTAAGAACTCAACTTTATGCAAATGAGTTAAGGAATAATAACATGTAAGCTTTCTAAGCAGAGCAGTGATTGAATACTTTCTTTTAGGGCTGTGCAAAGCTTCAGTTGCTGATTTGATTTGGAGGAGATTTGGCCTGATTCAGCAGCCAAATTTTCGAATCCAAATCGAATCAGGACACCCATTAATCTCTCTGAATCAAATTGGAAGCCTCCGCTTTGATTTGGAGAGATTCAATGATTCAGCCATAGACACAGCTTTATATGTTTTTTCTACATACCTCAAGGTACCAGGCACAGCTTGTGAATGCTGATATGGTGGGGAGGGTGGAGTGTCCCATGGGAGCACTAGTGGGGTCCCTCACACTTGGCAGTGGACCCGGAAGTGGACCAGAAGAACTTCTGGTCCACTTCCAGGTCCCCGACAGAGCATGCAGGGGACCTCCCCCCCTCCGGCTCGGTGACTGGTGCCTCTTAGGTCTGGGGGTTCCCTGGGGTCCCCCTCGTGGCTGATTGCTGAGCGAGGGGGTGTGGTGGGGGGGATCCACTTCCACTTCCAGGTCCACCACCGAGCGCACCGCATGCTCCTGTGAGACACTCCATCTGCCCCACCACCTCAGTGTTCACGAGCTGCACCTGGTACATTGAGGTACATAGAAAAAACATATAAAGCTGCATCTATGGCCAAATCACTGATTCGCCAAATCAGAATCAAATCTTTCAATTCAGATTCAGCTGAATCAAATCAGATCAGTGATCCGAATCAGCGAATCGAATCACTGTCCCCCAAATTGGGCCGAATCCAAATCCAAATTGAATACTGCCCATTTCACACACCCCTACTCTCTTTCAAGCTTGCTCCAAATGTTCTGAAACATGAAATGAGGCATCAGTTATTTCTGAAGGCAACACTAAGTAATATAGGCCTAGGAGCTCCCTTACCAATGAGAGAGAAAAGGAACCTATATAGTACAATGCAAAACAAGAAAAGTAAGATGAGGGAATAGATAGAACTGAGCGGCTGAAAGAAAAGAAGCTTTTGAATCAGAACTATGTGTAAAAAGAACTCAAACCCACCCTGATTTTGCATAGGTTTGGAGTTCTATACTCATGATGTACTTAGAAAATCAATACTTGCATAGCACTGACATGGGTATAACAACATATAAATATAAAACCAAAATATAATTAATGTAAGAATTTGAATATGTTTGGGATGGCTATTAAAGATACATTTATAAAGACAGATTTTTTAAGATGGTAAGCCATCAGTATATTTCAGGACAAAGTACAGGCATTTTGGGAGCAGTTTCCTTGTAATAACAGTTGTAGTGTTGGGTTGGCTGGCTGTTTTTTTTAAATATAGAAAAGTTATCAAAAAGATGTCACTCAGTAAGTCATAGAATGCTGTGGATATTTGCTATGCTACTTTTTCTTATTTCATAAAGGCTGCAGATTCAATTCCTCTTGCCAAATATTAGAAAATCAGAATCTCTTTCAAACTAACTGCTGTATTAGTTAAGATGTCAGTCCCCCAGTCTATCCTAAATCCCAACAAACCATCAAAAGGTAAGGACGGCTCTTATTTACACCAGAAACCCAATACATCACCCTGAACACAAATAAAGCTTTATGTAGATAACACAAAGAATGTCAAAAAATGAGAATGGCATTTTATTTTTGTGGACTCCCTGCAAATACAGTGTATTACCCTCACTGAATGCCAGTTCCTGTCAACTTTCAAGAAACAGAAAAAACACACGCAAATATTAGGCATTACAACTTTGAAATAATGTTTAGCTGTGAATAGTAAGCCCTTGTGTACTCACCAGTGCTTTGGCATTAGGATTAGCTGTTTTGTCCAAGAGTACCTTGGCAACTTTGTAGTGGCCACAGTGGGCGGCAACATGCAGTGCAGTCAGATAGTCATTAGTGACATCATCAACAGGCACGTTGTGCTGAATCAGAAGCTGAACACAGTTTAGATGATCTCCTTGTGTTGCCATATGCAACGGAGACAAACCATTCTGTAAACAAAAAGAAACTAACTGAATAGACAGACATATGAAAACATTTGTGACTGAAAACTTTCTTTGAAGCACAGCTTTACAAGCTCTATTGTTATGTGAAATCCCACACTACATCAAATGGAAATAAATGCACTGGACCAAATTCTGAAGTCTGCTTAAAACAAAAACTATGGCCAGGTCTATACTAGTCCCCTCCCCCTCAGCTTGTATCAGCTTTTACTAGTATATGGGTGTCCTAAGTCATATGAATCTAACAAGCAGGAGCATTTTTATGCTAGATCATCTATACTAGAGGTTATACCCATATATAAATACCATTACAATTATATAACTATATTAACATCACCCTTACTATACCAACAAAACTTTGGACAAAGTAAACATGGACAAAGTAAAACCTGTGTAAGGAATTTTGGATGTAGCCACATGGAAAGAGCTATGATTTCTATGGAGACAATAGCTGCATTTGAGAATTGTTTTTTGCACTGCATACAACACTTAGGAAACTATTTGTCAAATATGAATTTATCTTTGAATCATTAGTCACATTAAAATAAATTAAACACATGCACACACACCAATGACAGAAATGAATTATTCTCTCAGACAGAATTCTCAGTGACTGATTCTGTTTCATAGAAAAAACACACAAGTACAAATGGAGGTTGTTTGAAGAAATGCACATTGGTTTCTTAAACTAGATACAGTACCAAAAACTACCATCTACATTTTGAACTGCCAGTTATTTAGCTTTATCATTCTAAAGCCAAAAGCATTCTGTAAATTTTAAAGATTCAATGATTCAATTATGTATACTTAATGAAAACAGATTCCATTTCATTTACTATCATAGTAATGAATTATCTTGGTGATAATGTAATCCAGATGGCTGAAATATGGCTTTTAGATCTAAAAATACCGCAGACTCACTGCCAAGAAAAATTTAAACTCTTTCTCACAGATGTGGTGCCCTCATGTGACCATGGATAACATAAGCAAAACACCAATATAAATGCTCAGTAGCTGTATTCCTCAGACTTTCTGAAACCGAGGCCTTCTTTTTTCTAATAGGCCATATGATATGAGAAATGACAAAAATTACAAAAAAGGAGCAAATGCATGATGAAATACATGTTAAAAAGCACCAAAGAAGAACGAAAGAAGGTGAAAACAAGCATGGCATCTGAATTACATAATTTTAAAGCAGTCTCAGCTGGATCACATCTTAGCATAGGACTCATGATCATGGTTCTTCCTGTACACAATGATGCAGATCAGCTCCCTTTCCATTCCAGTGGGAACTACTGCAGTTATTTACTTGATATTTGGAAAGTATTTGATACATTTTAGTTGTCTTTTAATGTGATTTAGCAATTTAAAACAAAGGGGAGAGTTAGCACTACATAACAAAGCTCTCCAGACAACAGCTTGAGAACTGCTGATGTGACAAATTCCTCTAAGCGATTCTGATGACAGTGAGAATTACCTAGAAGATGCAGGCACCATTAAATATTGTGCACAGTTAAATATTTAGTGAAATGTAAACAATAACAGTGAATCCATCGCACGTGTATAATCCATAATTGAGTGGGACAACTTGGAAGGCATGGAAGGTATTCAGAGTCTCAAGGGTAGCTATAAGGGAAGGAACTATGTATTAAAGATAAAGTAGAAATGTGTGAGAAGGAGTCAGGAAAAGATCAAAACATCCAGCAGACAAATGTGAGGAGTAGAGGCTAAGGGAAAGTAGGAAGGGAGCAGAGGTCATCAAGGAGCATACTAATATGGGAAAGTTAGCAGAAAACTGGAGAAAATCTTTTGAGGACCAGAAAAGTATAACTAGGAGCAAAAAGACCAGGGTACAGACCCAGACTGAAAAGAAATTTCACAATGGACAAGTAAAGGATGATGGAAGACTGGTGTTTTGGTTAAAGCACAGGACCCAAAATGGGGTTTATTCTTGGTTTTGCTATATTATCAATAAAATGTGATACTCTAGACAAATCATTTAATATTTTTGTGCCTGTGTTGCCCACCTGTAAAATAAAAGTACAGGGCAGAACATTATTCCCCCTTCCACATCCATGTTGTGAGACATAATTCATTAATGTCTGTAAGCAGTACTTTGGGATCCCGAGATGGAGCAGCTATGTGAACTCCTGTGATAGTAGTATGACTTTTTGGCCACTCTTAAAAGGATCTCACAGCACTGCAGGGCACCATGCCACTGTAGATGAGAGTTACCAAAGTACTGGATTGCCACTGGGAACATAAAATGTGAAGGAGCTGAGCAGAAATCAGGGAAGATCACAGGCCAACTATGGACAAATGTGCATATGGAACTTTTATTTTTAAAAGGGAGCTGCTGATCAGGAGTGGACAACAGATGTTATGTTCTAAGAATTACAGATGTACAACTTGGGAGTGATATAAATGTAGCAAAACTGCTCCAACTTGAACCTTAGATGAACCAGTATTAAAGTTGGAGCTGTTTTGCTGCATTTGTATTGCTCCCTGCATTTGTATTGCTCCCAGCTCCTGCAGACTTAACTGTTAGAATGTAACAGCTGCTGCAGGGCCTGGAGAAGAGTCCCTCCCCTCTTTTTAAATGGCTCCAAATGTACTTTATTCACACCCATGGAAATACAGCAAGCTATGGATAGTTATATGATGCTTGAGAAGAAAAGTAGTAGATGACCAGATCAAATTCCACATCAAAGAGATGACTGGCAAAGACTCATGGTATTGAAAACCAGTAACAAAGATGACACTTAGCTCTTACATAGCAATTTTTAGGCTTCCTCTGTAGCTGTTAACATGTTTCATGCTGGGGAGAGGTTCAGTTTAATTAACTTCACCTTTTCTAAAAACGTGGACACTGATGCACACAGAAATGATTAACTTTGCCCAATTACCTGTGGCAAGGGCAGCCCCTGTGTGGCATGCAGCAGAGCGGAGTGGGGACAGACAGTACTGTGGCAGATATGACAGGGACCAGAAAGCAGAGCAGCATATAGAGCAAGGAATGCAAGATAGGAAGCAAAAAACACAGAGGCAGACTGGGCAGGGACAGGGAGCAGAAAGCAGAACAGCAGCTCAGGCAAGGGAAGGGGATCAGAGTGGCACTTGGAAAGGATATGGGCTAATTTGTAGCACACCTGCCAAAAAAGGTTGTGCCCCTACTGCAATAAGAGTGGAGGTCCTTCTAAGGGTGCCACAGGTGTCATGCAGTACCAGTACTGTTAAGTTTGCGAGCACCAACACAGAATACTCAAGACTAGAATGCAGATTCCTTGTTCCCAGGCTATTAGGCCATTCTGCCTCCTCTAAGAAGAAAACTAAGGATATGGCAATGTGAAAATGGCAAACACCACACTAAGCACTCTGCTAGGAGCTATTAAGAACTTGTTTATGGATCAGCCTTCAGGCTTTTCTCTTACAGTGAAAGAGTTTTTTCTATCACTTGAGAAGTATAAAAGTTAACATGCTTTCTGAAGACTTATCTATTTCCAGGAAGTTATGACTTGATTAAAAGAGAATTATTCATCCTACAGTGTAGGGTGGGTAAGATAACTAGTAGGGTGGAAGTGCTTGACTTTAGAAAGGCTAACTTCAGTTTGCTTAGGAGTCTAGTCAATGATGCACTGCAGGATAAGAGTATTGGCAAAATGGGAGTCCAGGAAGGGTGGTCATTTCTAAAGGCTGTGATCCTTCAGGCACAAAGGGAGACTATCTCAGTACGAGGGAAAAGGGGGAGCAATTAGTGACAGATAGGGTGGGGGGGCGAGGGGGGCATGGCTGATCTATTCAACGGGTTGTTTGCTTTTGTGTTCCTGAACAGGGGTCAAGATAAGTCTCATAATGGGCTAGACTGGCATCAGAGGGACACTAGACCATCAACTGTTGAGGGTGACTTGGTGCAGAGTCACTTGGATGGACTGAATGTGTTCAAGTCAGCAGGCCTGGATGAGCTGCATCCAAGAGTAGTGAAGGAATTGGCCGGTGTCATAGCAGAACCACTGGCACGGTTGTTTGAACACTCGTAGCACTCGGGTCAGGTCGCGGAGGACTGGAAAAGGGCCAGTGTGGTCCCTATTCTCAAGAAGGGGAGGAAGGAGGATCTGAGTAATTATAGACTAGTCAGTGTCACCTCCGTCCTTGGAAAGGTCTTTGAAAAGATTATGAAGGATCATATTTGTGGGAGTCCAGAGGGAAAAATAATGCAGCAGGGAAACCAGCATAGCTTCATAACAGGTAGATCATGCCTGACCAATCTGGTTTCGTTTTATGACAGGGTCACAAAATGCTTAGATGCAGGAGTAGAGGTGGATGATGTTTTCTTGGATTTTAGCAAGGCCTTCGATACAGTATCACATCCCATTCTCATAAATAAATTAAGAGATTGTGACACAGATGTTTACATGGTCCGGTGGGTGGCAAATTGGCTTAGTGGTCGCACCCAGAGGGTGGTAGTAGATGGGTCGGTATTGACCTGGAAGGATGTGGGTAGTGGGGTCCCACAGGGTTTGGTCCTTGGATCTGTACTCTTCAATATCTTCATCAGTGACTTGGATGTGGGTGTGAAGTGTATTCTGTCCAAGTTTGCAGATGATACTGAATTGTGGGTTGAAGTGTACACTCTGGAGGACAGGGAATGATTGCAGGCAGACCTGGACAGGTTAGAAAAGTGGGCAGGACACAATAGGATGCAGTACAACAAGGACAAGTACAGAGTGCTGCACCTAGGGTGCAGAAATAACCAGCACACCTACTGGCTGGGAAGTGACCCTCTCAGAAGCACAGAAGTAGAAAGGGATCTCGGAGTCATAGTGGACTCCAAGATAAACATGAGTTGTCAGTGTGACAAAATCATCAGCAAAGCTAACCGCACTTTTTCATGCATCACTAGATGCATGACAAAAAGAACCAAGGAGGTGATACTTCCCCTCTATGAGGCATTGGTCAGACTGCAGTTGGAGTACTGCATCTAGGTTTGGGCGCTGTACTTCAAGAAAGATGTTGATAGACTCGAGAGGGTGCAGAGGAGGGCCACTTGTACAGTTAGGGGCTTATAGGACAAGCCTTACGAGGAGAGACTGAGGGCCCTGGACCTTCTCAGCTTCCACAAGAAAAGGCTGGGAGATGATCTTGTGGCTGCCTGCAAATTCATTAGGGATCGGAGATGCTCTGTTCACCAGGGTGCCTCTTGGGGTAACAAGGAACAAAGGTCACAAACTGACAGAGAGCAGATTTAGGCTACATATCAGGAAAAAAATTTTCAAGGTAAGGGTGGCCAAAATTTGGAATGGGCTTCCAAGGGAGTTGGTGCTCTCTCCTACCTTGGGGGATCTTTAAGAGAAGGCTGGATAGGCATCTGGCTGGGGTCATCTGACCCCAGCACTTTTTCCTGCCTAAGCAGAGGTTGGACCCGATGATCCGTTGAGGTTCCTTCCAACCCTAGCATCTATGAATCTATAAACTGAGCCAAGTGTTTTTTCTAGAGGACAATATTGCAATCCAGTGCCAAATTAATAGATTCATTAACATCATTCAAAGGTATTCTGCCTCTCAGTTTACCTCACAAATCCAGTCTAAATTAACATATCAGAGAGAGAGAATGGAACAAGCAATACTTCTCTTTTCTTATGTTCATTATTTAATGTCTAGTATTGATTCCCTTTCCCCCGGAGAAAGGCTTGTGTAGGATTTTAGTGTTTGGTATTACATTGCCATGGAGAATCATATAAGCACATTTTAAGCCAGTTCTGTAGCATGTGGCTCTACAGTTTCAAATCCTGAAGCACATACTCTTACTTTTCTGATAAATTTTTTTTAGGTGAGGCCACAACATTTGGGGAAGTTTTGCAGATCTCGTTCTTTAAAATGACTATGTCTTTGAAGGGACACATTGGAAAGAAAAAAAAAGGTTAAAAAACTCTTAAAGGATAAACTAGTATTCAAATAGGTGGTTAAATTTCAAGGTAATTAATATCAGTGCTGCACGTGCTAAAAACAAGGGATACAGTTCCTGAAAACTGTGACCATGCTATTTTTAACAGAAACAAAAAAACAGGGCTAAAGTTCTTTATGTGAATTTAATCACAGGCCCACCAAAGACTGGGGAGAGCTATTGGAAGGGAGGACAGATTAAATCTGGGCAGGGAAGATGATTTGGTTTGAGGGAGGTAAGTCTATAGAGAAAGGTGCATAGCCTTCCCTCCACATAAACGTACTCCAGGCTTGGGTACAGACATTCAAAAAGCCTGAGGCGGAATTGATCTACATTATGTGGTTTCCTGTAAGCTGCGAAGTTTAGATCGTTACAGAACAGAACACACACTTGCCCTTTGGTGGTGGGAGGGAAAACCTTTAACTGGGTTCTGCCATTTTACACCAGTCTGTGTGTGCCAAACTTCTGTTCTGTTATGGGTATAGACTGGTTTCCTATCACTTATACCGGTAAAAGTATAATATCTGTACCTGGCCCAGGTATCTCTGTGAAGGCTATGTGTATTCACACGCTGATCAAACAGCTGCACATCATATCAGCAACAGTACGAGGAGCTCACATGTGCAGGGCTACAAGTTCAGGACTTTGGGAGTCAATGGCAATTCTGCATACAGATGAAGGGAAGATCTTCTCATTTGCTCAAGTCACATTATCTATGACAGGATATGTCAGGGACATGAGACAGACCAAAGATGATGCCATATCCAAACTACATGCTAAATATTCCAGTGGGAGGGTGGGAGGAAGGGGGTCTAGCGGGGAGAGAGAGAATAAAAGGAAAGACGGGAGATGATAAGAGGACAGGAAAGAAAAAAAAGAAACAAAATAACGTGGAAACAAGAACTACTTTAGCAAAATGCTGTTGCATGGCACAAAAAGAGAAAGGATTGCGAAGAAAGGGGCTCCAAAAACCTGTACTGGTACAATGAAAATTTTTATAGCAGTGTTCCCACCCATATGTATCAACTTCAACGGAAGGAGGCATACATAGTATGGTGGTGTCATTAGAAACTCAATTGCTATACATACATCAGAGCTAACCCTGGTATCTGAAATAACACTATGTAGGGAACAGCATCAAATGCGCATTTTAATGATAATCCTTGTACCTGAAGTAGGCTGCCCACCCTAATGACTGTGATTTGAAATTTCCATGAAGAGACTCATGAAAGGAAAACAATGAATTTCACATATTTTAACAAAGTATAGGGATAAGAAATGGAAACATTTAGTAATCAGCCTAACAGTTGAGAAAATGGGAGCTCCTCTGTAGAGAGACATTACTTTATTTTTATCATTTAACTCTACTGTGGCCTTGTGGTACTTCTGTAACAAGTTAAAGCCTCAATGTAATCCGTATACCTTCATTCCAAGCAAATATTTTCTATTCATCCAAATTCCAGTGGTTAGAAATAGTATTTAACTTCTGTGCTCTAACATCATATAATCCTCTTCACAAATGAAAACACATGCTTAGCATCCATGAACAACAACATTCAACACTGCTCTTTGAACAAAGGATCTTCCATGCACCAGTTTAGGACTGTCCAATTTCTAAGTGGCTGGGTGCATGCTATGCAGGTTGCACCATTGTGGGTCACAGGCTCCCCTCTCAGAGGCCACATATGGCCCTTGGACCACGAGTTGGACAGTCCTATGCTAGTTTATGTAGATAATATGAAGATAGGAAGTTAGTATCCAACCCCTAACCCAGCTAAAATATACAGCACTGTGAAAACAGAATGATCAAATATTATTTAGCAGACAGTTAAAGAGTACTAGTTACCTTGGTCTTTGAAAGAATAGGGGCACCACGATCAAGCAGCATTTCGACCACCTGTTCATGGCCACTTCTTGCTCCACAGTGGAGAGGGGTCAGCCCATCCTATTAAACAAAAACATTATAATCCATTTACTTCAGATATAGTGAAATATCATGCACTTAAAAAATAGAAGCATTTTTGGGCATGTAAGTCCTGTATGCAGTGGGCCAGGTAATATTGTTTGAATCATTTATTCCACAAATGAAACAATATTTTCAAGTAAAAACGATTTGATCTTTTTTATTGCATATTCAACTGTAGTAGACATATAGCTAGGATTATAATGGTATGATCAATCTGTAATTCAAACTACAACTGCACTTTCATTCAGTGAGCCTGCTGCTCAATCTAACTCAACATATTGAGGACAGTTTTGAAAGAGGCCAAATCACCAGAGCTGTGTTTGTTGACCTAACAGTATCCTATGATACAGTTAACCACTGATGACTCTTCCACAAGACCCTGGAAATGACAAAAGACCTACGCCTTACAGAGCTGACATGAACCCTGCTTGTAAACAGACTTTTTTGTCAAACTGAATGGGAAGTGAAATGGATGCAACCTAGGGCTGTGCGAGGCTTTGGTTACTGATTCGATTTGGAGGAGATTCAACCTGATTCGCTGGCCAAATCTCCAAATCTGAATCAAATTAGGAGACCCATTAAAAGGTCTGAATCAAATCCAAAGCCTCTGAATTGATTCAGAAAAGATTCAGAGATTTGGATTGGCCAGGGCGAGGCAAGCAAGCAGC